CGTGCGTGCGTGCGTGCGTGCGTGCGTGCGTGCGTGCGTGCGTGCGTGCGTGCGGCCTCATGTGTACGTGAGGAGGGAAGGGTGTGCGCGTGTGTGTATGGGTGCGTGTGTGCGTGCGCAGGGTGTGTAGCTGGCACATATGTCTATATTGCACAGTCGTGTAACGCAAACACCATAAAGCACAATTACCAGTAAACGCGCAAGTACAGAGCACAAAAAATAGCAAAAACTACGTAAAGCTAACAATTTTAATCGCCTGAAAACGAGTAACTTTGGCTGGTTGAAGCCTATAGTAACCGCGGTTGTGTAGGCGCCACCTATGCTCCACGAAGGAATGGCTCCATCTATTCTCCACGAATAAGTGGCTCCACCTATGCCTCACGAATGAGTGGCTCCACCTATGCCTCACGAATGAGTGGCTCCACCTATGCCTCACGAATGAGTGGCTCCACCTATGCCTCACGAATGAGTGACTCCACCTATGCCTCACGAACGAGTGGCGCCACCTACGCTCCACCAATGAGTGGCGTCACCTATGCCTCACAAATGAGTGGCGCCACCTATGCCTCACAAATGAGTGGCGCCACCTACTCTCCACGAATGAGTGGCGCTACCTATGCCTCACGAATGAGTGGCGCCACCTACGCTCCACGAATGAGTGGCGCCACCTATGCCTCACGAATGAGTGGCGCAACGACAAGTGAAACAAGTTATCTGTATGTTATTCACAGGTGATACAAATATACAAGTTTATACAGGAGGATGTTTCTGCAAGGTCACTGGTATAACGCCGGGCCGTAGATTGAGCAAATTTCTAAGGAGAGGGCAAAATTTCATGACTCAACTGTGCATTGATGAGCGGCGGGCGCAGCTCTTGAACGACGTCCATAGTGTATAGTGTGGTAGGGGTGGGTCTGAGACCAGGCTTTCACGGATAGGTAACCACAAAAATCAAGTTAGGATTCTTTACGATTATTATTATCGGGGAGCGGTGTGGACAGAGTTGTCAACGATATGCATAGATAGGTCACGGCGCAGCGCCCGCACGTGAAACACTTAGATATAGAGTGGATACACACACACGCACACACGCACACACGCACACACGCACGCACACACACACACACACACACACACATACACACACACTCTCACATACATACACACACACACACACACACACACACACACACACACACACACACACACACACACACACACAC